GTAGCAGAGGAGGCACGGGGCAGCAGAGGAGGATCACGGGCAGCAGCAGGGGAATGTTTAGGCACAGCCGTCTCTACTCCCTGCTGGGCTCTGGCTGCAGCACTCGGTGTCCCTGGTCTGTGATGGAAGGGAACACAGACCGCAGCATGCAGCGACTCCCACCGAGGAGAAAGGTGGAGCAGAGCGGCGGCTGCAGCGAATCGAAGATCGACTAATGAGAATCGTTGACGATTCTCATTATTGATTGTCAATGAAATTGATTAGTGGAGTGCACCACGACATGAAATGGTAGGACCCGAACTTTAAGACCATAAGGTTGAACAACGATCTGCCTCAGCCAGAGAAATGGTGGAATATAGCGATGCACCGATACCAGAATTGATATCTGTGCCGATACCGAGCATTTGCATGTGTACTGTTTAATTATTCAAATTGAAGCAGCTGCCTTAGGTCCCACACTTCCTGAGATCCTTTACCCGCGACATCAGGCCAGCACCCCGGAGCAGTGCTGCAGCAGAGTATGTAGCAATACATAAACAGCCAGTCCCCGGGTTACGAACAAGATAGGGACTGTAGGTTTGTTCTTAAGGTGAATTTGTTTGTAAGTTGGAACAGGACCATTGTTTAAGTGTAACTCCAGCCAAAATTATTTTCTAGTTTTGGATAGCATAGGGAAGGGTTTACCCCCTGTAACGTTTGTTTCGCTGTGTGTGCCCCTGTTCAGATTTCACCTCACTTTCTGTCCCTGTGACAATTGGATTGTGAAAATTTTGGGTTGTCGTGGAAACAAGAATTGGTGATAAAGCTTCAGTGGCGACAACTTTTTCCCATGATCACTCTTACAGGAGTGAATTTCCCTTCCTGGGGAAGGATCTTGCCCTCTGAGAAGGGTTGAATCCAGGGGATTCTTCTGCTGGGGCAGATGGGTACTCTTGTGACATCCTTAAGGGCCTGTTCACATGATATCAGGTCCTGATCTGCAGACTGATGCAGTGCGTTATTGCCGCGTTTTGGCTGTGTTTTTGATGCGTTCAAGTAAAAAAAAAACTTTTTTTTTTTTTTGCTGGAGTGGGGCTGTTAGTATGTTAGCTGCAACGGAGTGCGTTTTTGATACGTTTGCGTATCCGTACCTGACAAAATGTGACATGCAGTATTTTTTCTTTAAGGCTTTTCCCCATAGTTTTCCTAAGGGTAACGGAAGGACACAAACTAGCGTCCTCCCGTCACCCTAGGCTCAGTATACAGCTTGCGGTATACTGAGACGCCGCAGCTGAAGCGGATCCCGACAATTGTGCCGGGATCCGCCCAGCTGCGTGACTGACAGCTGGCTCTGCCTATCTAGAGGCAGAGCCAGCTCTACCCGCCCCTCCCGTTCCACCAGTCAGCGCTGGAGGATCGGAGTTCTGTTTTACAATTCCTTGAGTTCCTGTTATCAGAGAGTCCTCTGCATTTTTTACTGACAGGAAACTCGTAAGGGAAATGAGACGAGAGACCTCTAACAACCTGCCTAGATAGTAGTTCAAGGCTGCCGGAAAATGCTCCAAACACTGTAAGTAATCATCTTGGAAAAGGCCAGTAAGGGATTGGAAGACTAGTGTCATGGCCAAGGCAGGTTGCAAAGCAAGGCCTGCCAGAGAACAAGGTCTTAGAAAGGACCTCCAATTGTTTGTTGATGGGATTCTAAAACATAGGCACATCATCCACAGGGATTGTCAGTACCTAAAGAGGGTTACTGCTGGATCCAGTGAGGGCAGTCTACTCTTTAACAAAGTCCTCCTCAGATGGGTACAGAGCGGTCAGCCTTTTAGGTGAACAGCCTGACTGCATTCTTTCAGTCTCTCTAAAGAATAAATAGGCAACTGCGAGTGCAGCGGAAAGGTCTTGGGGACAGCATTGGTAGAAGCCAGACTGATCCTTAACCTTGAAAGTGGTGCGAACTGCATAAATAGTAGTTGAGATGGTCTCTACGTCTGGGAGTAATGGAAGCAGCCTGCGACTCCTTAGGTGTAGCGTTGTCTGTTGGGGACCTAAGGGACTTGGCCTTAGAGAGAGGCTCTGAAGCCACTAATGGCATGGGCAGATTGCATAAGGGTTATGCAGGGGATGGTGAAGAAAAACAGGTTACACAGTATAACATAACCCAACACCAATACACATTTAACTCAAACTGATGACCATGTTGTCACATTGCCCCGTTTGAGTTTAGGTGATCCTCGGAGTCTACCCTAGCTCTGCCATGCATACCCTCTCCTCGGATCTAACCCGGAAGGATTTTACCAGTCGCACAGGATTTTAACGAACCAAATTGCAACCTTGATTGCTGATTCTGACTGCAAAGGCCATAAAACTGTGCATCATGAGACTGTCAGCACCCCTCGTTAGCTCCCTTTGTAGGACAATGACATTCTCCTGCGTCTGGCCACACTCATATGGCTGACTGCGGTTCTTTAGCAGCTGGACCCCCTGCAGTGTTGTGCAGTCAGAATGTCTGGGTGGATGTGATGGGATTATAATCTGATCACTTTGTGTATAAAAGGTTGCACAGTTGCTCAATAAATCAGAGTTTGTTTCACCCTACACTCGGGTCCCAACTAGTGCCTGGGGTAACTGGGAGCTAAAGATCATCAGGTTGCAATATCTCCTGAGCAAGGAAGAACACAGCGGCGGACATACTCATCCTGAGTACTGGGGTCCGTCACAGGCAACTATCCAGGGTCAGGCCCTTCAGTGGTGCACTGCAGCTAGCAGCAGAACAGTGAGTGCATTGTGAGCTGAGGGCTTCCAGTACAGCAGGACTGTTCCCTTCTTGTCTATGGTCACACATGTTATACTGTAAGGTAGGGGCAACTAACTCAGGGAAAGGGCTAGTCCTTGATTTCTCACAAATCAGCTGTTGGTAGCAGAAGAGGATCAGGAGGTGACCAGGTCTCTTTAGGTCGGCAGTAGAGACAGACCAGGGAAAGATCCTCATGTCACTTGCAGTCAGGAGCAGCAGCAGGAAGGTGGTTCCTGAATGCTGGATGGCAGCACGCGACATTGCACCAAGTGGAAGAGCCCCTCATCGTTAATTAAACATTAATGGATCGGTCAGGTATCTCACTTGCACAATACATATCCACATTCTAGCTGCAGCTGGGCTTTACCATGCACGGCCTTTCACTTCTTTCCCCACAGACCATTTCAACATACTGTATAATTGACAGCTTTAAAAGGTGCCCATACACCTTACGATTATCGGACGAAACTTTTCGTCCGATGATCGAATAGTTGTACGATTTTCGTACGGCAGCCCCATCCTGCCCCGATGATCGCAAGATTAATTTAGCCGTAATTAACGCAAAGCACCTGGACGAAATGCGGTAATTGATTTGCCGTATTTTCGTTAGCGCAAGCGCAGTGTAGATCGTACGACTTTTGACGGACGGAAACGCCAGCAACCTTACGACAATCGTACGATCTAGCAAAGTTTTCAAACATGCTTGACCGTCAAAAGTCGTACGATTGTACAGTAATGTCGGTCGGACACTGCAATGCACACGTACGATTATCGGACGAAAAGTCGATCGCATACGAAAATCGTCCGATAATCGTAAGGTGTATGGGCATCTATAGATGGCTGTATAAAAACAATCGATAACACTAATTGAAACTGCTCTCAGGTCAACGCATCTCTCAACCCTTAGCAGTCTCAAACTCCTACAGGATAGTCCATAAACCCATCGCACTCAAAACCGCTGTTCCATATGAAAGACGGGTGCTGCGGCAGTCGAGGGCTGGCAACCGTCTATAATCACAGAATAACAGACACCGGCACTCCAAGTAATGAATCAATGGCGTCTGTTTATTGACGCATGAGACATAGCACAATGCATCAAAAAGCAACGTTCCGGGTCTCACAAGATCCCCTTCATCAGGCAAAATGAGTGAGGGATGATCGTGCGTCAATAAACAAACGTCATTGATTCATTACTTGGAGTGCCGGTGTCTGTTATTTTGTAAAAAAAAACAACACACACCCATCGCACTCCTGACCGGATAGAAAACCCTAACTGTAGGGTGGGTGCTGAAATGACCGCGGCTGCCTCTGCTAAATAAGTCCACAAAATACAAAAAAGGTCACAAGCCCTCCAGCATGTAGAAAAGTCAATGTTTATTGACTTCACAGGTGTCACACCATCACGGCTCTGATGAAGTCAAAATAAACATTGACCTTTCCACATTCTGGAGTGCTTGTGACCTGTTTTGTATTTTGTTATTCTGTACAACTCCTACAGAAGCCCTCTATGGTGTATTTGTACCCTATTCTATGTAAAGTGCCATTATATGCCCTGTGTGTCCCTTTCATGCGCTGCAGCAGGTAATCCTGGAGTAGGTCCCAACGCATAGCAGGGTAGGCTCAGCCCTAAGGCAAACAAACATGAGCCCTAAAAACAACAAACATTACGATGTCCCTGTGTAGCCGGCGGAAACACAAAAAAACTGACTTGGGATGGAAGGAGGAGTCTATTTATTTAATGTGGTTGATGTGTTTCCTGTTGCAGGCAGGCGGAGCCTATATCTCGATGGCTGTCCTGGAAGATGACTGGGGAAAACTTCCTTCCAGAGTGAGCATTCTGGCAACACAAACTCTGGGAATTTTTTATTCAAATACTGATTTTCCTTAGGAAGTTGGCTCTCAGCCCCACCCCATCCTTTGTCTGATGAATGGCACATTAAATATCATGGGCCGATTCACATTTGGGAACAGTAACAAGATCTGAGGCGCTTGTGTTAATGGGTATTTGTATACTGGGGTTTGGGCCTCCAGGGGCACATGTAGGCAATGCTGGGTGCCTACACTAACAATCGAAAGGCACTTCACAATAGGTGTAACCGAGCGCAGAAAAAACTGATAGCATCTCAATTCACAAAGGAAAAAAAAAATCTTTTAACACTATAATTCCATGAGTCAACTCCTGGGTCCAGTGTGGTCTATAGGGCCAGGTATGGACACGAATCCTTATGTGGGTAAAGGATTTATTTAGAAAACAAAAACAGTTCAGAGAACAGTCCCGGTCAAGTAGATTTAACTTTCTGCTGTGGCTCAGTCTCTTGTTCATATTCTATTTCCACATACGCTCGCTTCTTCCGCAATGGTCCTTTCACAGGAGCTTTGCCTTTTGACTTTCCTTTTGTATTCTTTGCCTTTTCCCCCTCCTCCTCCTCTTCTTCTTCTGATGACTCTTCTTCATCAGATTCGTTTTCCTCATCGCTGCCAGCACCTAATTTTTCCATGTCCTGTTCACAAAAAAAAAAAAAATTAGATTCAAGATCTCTAAGACTGGCAGCCTATTGGCTGCTAGCTCTATTCAGCTGACAATTTTCCGTCATGCTCCTTCGATCAGCTGATCAGGGGATGCCATTGGGAAAGGTGCCGACAGCAGCAGCACCCACATCCTTGGTGAGTCTTGCACTGACTCATGGGACTTGTAGTTCACCACAGCTGGAGTGCCGAGGTTGCCTAGCCCTGAAATAAAGGCTGGCTTACCTGTAGTTTTTATTAGTGAACCCTAACAAAGCACATCTCTTATTTGTACCCTATTGGGCTGCTAAATATACCATTGAAAGAATTTTGTTTGTTTGATAAGTGCAAAAAAAAAAATACCAGAAAGCTAGTGAGCTGATGACTTCCTGAGCTCTCTTATTTTGCTGCTCTACCATTAGTTCACCTTCCGGTATCGTCATAAGTTCTAAGGCCCCATTCACACAAGAAACGGCCAGCACATACAGCTCCGTGCACGGCCGTATCGGGCAGCTCCCGGGAAGGACAGGTGTTGCGTGTGATTAGTACGCAGCCCCCGTCCTTCTCTATGGGAGTACGCGGCCGTACGTCGCCCTACACTCAGTGCAGGTCCGTACCGGTGCGTGTTTCCTGGCTCAGACGCAGACAGGATCCACCCTCAGGGACAGGACGGGTTAGAGTAGGGCAGCATACGGTCGCGTAGTCCCATAGAGGACAGGGGCCGCGTACTAATCACACGCAGCACCTGTCCTTCCTGGGAGCTGCCCTGCACGCAGCTGTACGTGCCGGCCGTTTCTAGTGTGAATGAGGCCTTATCCCTCATTCACACAGGAATCGGCCCGCACGTACAGCTCCCGGGAAGGACTGGTGCTGCGTGTGATTAGCAGCCCCCATCCTTCTCTATGGGACTACGTGACCGTACGCCCCCCTATGCTCACCCGCCCTGCACGTCCGTGCGAGTGTACTTGCACACTGACAGGATGGATCCTGTCTGCGTCCGAGCCAGGAAACACGCACCCCTACGGACCTGCACTTGAGGTGAGCGTAAAGGGGCGTATGGCCGCGTAGTCGGCTGTATCGTGCACGGAGCTGTACGTGCCGGTTGTTTCTAGTGTGAATGAGGCCTAATAGTTACTAGTTATCTGAGGGCTAAAGAACAGGGGAGATGTTTGTAGTCCTGTTCTAGGGTGGCAACACTGCTTTTACCTAGACAAGGGTATAGTTAATAAACAAAACAGGGTCTTCTAGCAAGTAGCACACCATGAGATAAAGGAGCAAGGTGCAGTACTCACTCACATGATAAGATTTTCAAACTTACCTCAAAATCACTGACGTCGCTTTCTTCGACCTCGTCATCTTCCACAAACTCTCTCTTACCACTCTCCTGCAAACATGACAGAATATATCATGAAAAACTCTTATAACAGCTGAATATAAAGACGCCGCACATTCTCTTCATGCACTCCTGTCCAGGAGTCCATCACGTACCAAAAAAGACTGCGGCACGTTACATATATATCGCCGAGCAATAATTCTAGGACCGTCATTCACAGTTAATTGTAGAACGATACGCCATAAAGCAGGGGTCGGCAACTTTGGCCCTCCAGCTGTTGTGGAACTACAAATCCCATGAGGCATTGCAAATCTGTCAGTTACAGGCATGACTCCCAGAGGTATGTTGGTATTTGTAGTTAAAGTACAGCTGGAGGGCCGGAGTTATCTACCCCTGCCGGAAAGGCTTTAAAGTGTTGCCTAAAGACAATTTTGGGTCATGTGGTTTGTGGTTATTTTACAGGCTCACATAAATTTTGGGGCTCGACATATTTGGTATCCATTTACTTGATGCAACCTGTTATATTTTACTAAAACAATTGATATTACATTATGTTTGTGTACAGTAACATACATTTGATTTTTTTTGTTCACTAAAAATGTGGGTTTGATAAGATGCGCTAAAAAAATGTGAAATAAATATCTGCAAGTACCACCATTTTAGTCTACTTTGTGTATAATGTGTGGGGGGTTTTAAGTAACCTTCAGGCCCAAAATGTGCAATTTACAGTGCGCACAATAGATGCATAAATTGCCCCCGGCAGCAAAAGGGTTAATAGTGTTGCAATAGCTAAAATTGTGGAGTTATACTTATTTCAGTGCTTCCCTGCAACAGCCTCAAATCCAAAGAATGAGCAGCAGGCTGTACGGGAGGATCGTGGTGTCTGGTACAAAGATCCAACAGGCCGCCCCCTCCCCCCACCTTGTCAGTACTACAGCTTACTGCATGGACATCGCTATGATCCTTCTGTGTAGCCTGCTGCCTATTCCTTGGATTTGTGTCCGGTTCTGTTGCAATGCTGATGGTTTATTTCGGGACACCCACATGGTTTGCAAAAGCGTCTGCTTGGCTATTACATAGTTACATAGTATTTGGGGTTGAATAAAGACATACGTCCATCAAGTCCAACCCATATAGGTCCACGCATCATCTCATTCTTAGGGATACTGGTATCCCTGGATATTACGGTCCCTCTAGAAATTGTGCAAACGTTTCTTGAACAAATCTACACTCTTGGCTAAAATCACTGCCGATGGCAGTGAGTTCCAGACCTTAGCCGCTCTTACTGTAAAGAACCCTCTTCACCCATTGTGCTGGAATTTTTTCTCCACCAACTTTAGGTGGTTGCCTCTATTGCACCGGTGCAGGAGAACAATGAGAGACTGAGAACAGTAAGTAACTCGTCATTTTCAGATTTACAACACTATGAAAGGCTTCTGGCTTTACCACCCAATTTAAGTCATTTTCAGACCTAAAAAACCCCCCAAAAAAACCATTACAATGCATTTTAAATGTGTACTCTGCATACATTCCCAGGAAAATGAAATCATTCCCAGGGCCGGTGGTGGCCTAAGGGGGAACTTGAAGAGCTGCAGGAGAAAATCAGCGCTGCCAACGAAGCCAGCACTAGAGAAAGCGAGGCGGAGGGAGCAGAGCCACATAAGCCAATGCTTCCTCTATAGCGCCCTCTCCTGTCCTGGAAGCGAGTTTCGCTCATTCTGGCCAGCGAAGGATTACCAAATTGCTCTTGGAAAGGTACGGCACCCCTGATTACCCCATTCTTAACTTTGCCATTTTGGATTATTTAATTTGGATTTGTGTTAACTTTGGATTGTTGTACATTTAAAAAAAAAATAAGACCTACCCCGAAAATAAGACCTAGTGTGTTTTTGTGAGCCAAAAAAAATATAAGACAGTGTCTTATTTTCGGGGAAACACGATATAGATATGTATATGTTCTTATAACGTGACTCTCGTCAGAATTTAAATCTACATACTTCATCTTCATCCTCTGCTTCTTCTTCCGAGGACTCCGATTCACTTCCGGCTTCCTGCTGCTCCAGAGCTTTGTCAAAGGCTTGGATGGGGAAGTTGTAAATATCTCCATACTGCGGGGAGACAAGACAGTCATCAGGGGTGACACGGCATCACTCTGTCTGATTGCAATAAATAGGAAGCTGCTATATTATGAGAGAGAATCCTCCACAACTGATCAAAGATTCCCTGCGTCACATATTTGTAAAGACAATGGGGCCAGAGAAACTAAATTGTCTTTGCGCCAAATATTTGTCCAACAGAAAATTACTTTTTTAGTCATTTAAATAATAGTTCTGTTTCGAATGCTTTGGAAAAGAAAATGCGACTGTAGAGGTAATTGTAAAGTGAATTTTTTTTTTCCAAGGGCGGCTTTTCGCACAAAAATTTTCACAATCTGCCCAAAATAACGTCCATCAATATTTGGCGATATAAAGATGTGCAGTTGTACGCATTCTACTAGGCCCCAAATAAACTATATGTGTAGCGAGATAATAGTTAGTTGACATGCGATGTGCAACAACTGGCATTCCTCAACAATGTTCGTTTATCTGGCCCAAGGTGTGTGTGTGGAATAAACCAACCTTCCTACCAACCTACCCACCTATCACTCACATCCATATATAAAAACACACACATAGATTTAGAAAGCAGTGAATGTGACATTCATCAAATTTTTAGTGCAGGTGTATCTTCCGGTTGCATGTGTTTTAAGTTCTTGATTGAATCATCTGCAGTAAATGCTTGGTGGTCATTCACTGCTTCACAAATATGCCCCTTTGAGTTCTTACTACAATCATTTCTGATGGCGTTCACATTTTCACAGGCTCTCTCTTTCTCATTTTTGTTAGATTTGCACACTAGCCACTAGAGGGAGCTCTCAGTGGAATTGCTTTCTCCCAGACAGTTTTTTCCCCATCTTTTAATATGCTCCGATTAAAAGGAGAACTATGAGGTGAGTGAAAATCACTCATCCTCATAGTTCGAGACGACTTGTGACAATGAAACTGTCACACGTCGGCTCAATAGATCAGGAAGTGAGCGAACACATACCATCGCTCGCTCACTTCTCGATAATGTCCCTGCAGAGAGCCGTGACTATCACTCACCGCTCCCCGCAGGGATTCCCCCCCTGTCCGCTCGCGCTGACTGGCGGAACTGACGGGGGAGGAGGCGGGTACAGCTGGCTCTGCCTCTAGATAGGCAGAGCCAGCCGTCACTCACGAAGCTGGGTGGATCGACAGTAATGTCGGGATCCGTCCCGGCTGCAGCAGTCTCAGTATACCGCGAGCAGTAGCTTGCGATATATCGAGCTTTCGGTCATGGGTGGACACAACTATATGTCCTCCCGTGTCCCCCTAAGAGAACTATGGGGAAAAACACTTAGCCTGTGATGCTAATGTGTCATTTGGCCACATTAAAAGAGAACTATGGGGTGTTTTCTCAAGCACTGTAGTCCTCACCTATCTAGCTTGTGAGTCAAGTGCACAGCTCAGCCTATTGCTACCTGCTCACTACTTGTCTGTCTGAACGCAAATACCACCAACAAAGCTGAGCAGAAGTTGTCCAATGTACATCACTACAAGATATTGAGAAGATTACTAAAGTTTTAAAACATTTGGTGTGTGGCTTCTTACTGCTCCGTGTATAATATAATTCACAGGCTGACAAGAGGTGCGGGTTTCTCGCTTCACAACAATGACGTGTCGTAGTCACTCAGGAAGTCATTTGTTCCTCTCATAAAAATGTTCTTACCGTTCCTTGCTTTAGACGCTCGAGTAGCTCTTTCTCTATAGCGTTGTCCAACTGAGCAGCTATCAGGGCTTTCTCCTGTGATCAGAGAATAAAGAATCATCACAATGCCGTACAGTGCTGTCTATGCACAATATAGGGGTCAGCTGCTTTCATGTAACATGTGTTCCATTTAAAACTTTCCCAATTACATGAAGACTAGAAAGAAGCGTTCTTGTACGCAGAGAACGCAGTGATGCGCGCTGAAAAAAGTACGACATGCTGTACGATGGGATGCGATGCGGAACAACCGTTGTGCCGGCAGAGCTGAGTGACATGTCACTTGTGAAATTTCAATAACGTTTTACACACACACAAAAAAAAGGTGTGCGATGCACCGGGATCAGCATATGGGCATTGTATTGGGCAACGCACACTAGCTGCTTTGCGATTAGCGCAGCAGTTGGTGTGAACTGGCCCTAAGGAAAATTCCTCCGACAACACTTTACAATATGCAATAAACCAAAAACTTTCAAAAAATACAAAAAAAACCCCAACAACTTACTTCTCTCCTCCTTTCTCTTCTTTCTACTTTCCGGCTTAACGGGACGAGTTTCCTCCTGCGAGTAAAAATGAGATTATAGCAATTTCACTCTTGTGTTTTGGCATCAAAATATTCTCTCTACAGAGCGCCGTGTGAGATTACACGCGAACGCCTTTTTATTTCTGACAGTGTCTGCGTTTTTAGGATCCTGAACATTATACTTAGCCGACAGCATTTCAGAGTGTTAAAAGGAGATCTATGGGGTTAAGGCTTTTCCCCGTAGTTCTCCTTAGGGTAATGGGAGGACACAAACTAGCGTCCTCCCGTCACCCTAGGCTCAGTATACCGCGAGCTACAGCTCGCGGTATACTGAGACGCCGCAGCTGAAGCGGATCCCGACAATTCCGCAGCTGAAGCGGATCCCGACTGACAGCTGGCTCTGCCTATCTAGAGGCAGAGCCAGCTGTACCAGCCCCCTCCCCCGTCCGTTCCGCCAGTCAGCGCTGGCGGATCGGAGCGGGGGGAATCCAGCCCCTCCCCCGTCACGGCATAGAGCCGTGACAGGATCGAGAGGAGCGAACGCCGGTATGTGTTCGCTCACCTCCCGATCTAATGAGCCGACCTGTGACAGTCTCATTGTCACAGGTCGGCTAGAACTATGAGGCGAGTGAAAAGCACTCACCTCATAGTTCTCCTTTAAAGAAGAATTAATGCCAAATGTTTACAAGTCTTTCGGAGTCTTCCAGGGAGCCCAGTGAACTGACACAAATACAAATGTGGGTTTATTTCTAAACCTCTGGACAGATTTGAATGGAATCAAGTACCGTGTGCATTGGGTCCCCTGGGGAATTCAACAAGACTTTGAAACTTCTGGTGATTCTTCTTTATTGGGCATTCCAGAGGTGAAAGCTAACACTGGGCCTCACCAATAACTTTTAGGGTGAAATAAGCGGATCACTACTAACATGCACTACACTCCACCACTCTACAGCCTCAGAGTTAAAAACAGCAACCCAAACTGTTGTACAAGCATTTTTGTACAGACGTAAAGACTGTTACAAGAGTCCTTGCGTGGTCTACAGAAGGCCTTCAAAACCATTAGATAAGGTTTCCACTTCTTTACAATCTCATAATTAAATTACATTAAACTCGGGAGTTAAATCTTAAAAATACATCAAACTACCTTAACTATTAACAACAATGTATCTTATTTGTGTATCACTCGGCTGTAGATCCTCCAATCATCTTTGAATTGGTGCTGACACTGTCCTTCCTTCTGGAGGGGGGCTACTTTTGTTCCCCATGGTCCCTGTGTGTGTGTGTGTGTGTGTGTGTGTGTGTGTGTGTGTAAAGTAGTCACAGCTCCAAGCTTGCCCCCGGGGTGGACTACAATCTCATGTTTAGTTTACTCATTTGTATTGAGATTGTAGTCCATCCCGGGAGCGAGCTTGGAGCGGTGACTACTTTACAACACATTTGGGCTTCTTGTATCATTACACACTGCCCGGCTTCCTGATTGGCCAGGAAGGCGGCTCCATGCTCCCTTGTCACGAGAATTGGTCGGAAAGCTGGCCAATCAGGAAGCCGGGCGTGTGCAATGACGCCTCATGAAGAGGGAGCATGGAGTCGGCTTCCCGGCCAATCAGGAAGCCGGGCGTCGCATCTTTACACGGTACCTGGATTCCTGATTGGCCAGAAAGCCGGCTCCATGCTTTCTCGTCACCTAGCTAATTGGGAAGCCGGGTGGTGAGTCATTACACGCCGTCTGGCTTCCTTAATGGGACTTACGGTATCAGCGAGTACCATAAAAAAATATCGGTACTCGTAATTGATACCGAAATACCAGTATCGGTGCATCCCTGAAGACAAGAACACATTTATTGTAGTTACAATCCAAGTTTCACTTACTGCCTCTTGAGAGTGAGTTTGCGGATGCGGATCAGGTACTGAGTGATCTTGGTAAATCTCTGCTTGCACTTATGTCTGATGAATCGCGGCCAGTAGATGAGGTTTTCATCGATCTGTTCCAGAGCCTGCTCATAGTTCTTGCTCAGTCGCACCTGCAATGAGAACTAACTCTTATAAGACTCCATATAGGTCCTTGTAGGGCGGTGCAAGCCGGAAGACTTGTGTGCTTTGAGCAGAGAGGACCATTGACACTTCACTTGTGATATTCTATAAGATGTAAAGGTTACCAGAGAACAAAAGGTCGCAATACCCTAATAAGAGATCATTCATAACCTGGCATATGTTAAAGAGGTTATCTCTACTGACAAGGAGCAGCTGCAGTTTGACAGAGAGAAGCTCTGGCTGGGAGCTGCTGTCAATCAACAAGGCAGGGCTGGGCAGGGGCAGCGTTGGTATAATAGGGTGCAGTGGGTAAAAGGACTACAGAAGATACAGGCATAGCATGCGTTGGCACGGCGTCCTATATCCCTGAACAGCAAGTCCTGGGAAGCAAACTGACCTGCTTCTGTGCTTTGCGTGGTCAGTTTGCAACAAGGAAGAAGAGGGACTAACAAGATTCACCAGGTAATTGGGGTGAATGAAAAAGTAAAAGACTTCTATGAGAAAGATATACATGGACAAACACACACACGGATGCTGCTTTGTTAAAGTGGATGTCAGAGAATATTATAAAAATGATCCGGTGTGCTCCCAACTTTCTGTAGCGACCCGACAACACAGCGCCTCTGTTGCATTGATATCCTAAGCAGTGTTATCAGCCCTGTCTGGGTTCTCCTCTGCTGCACACCACCCTCTTATGTTATGGAGAGGGGAAAGTGTTCTGTAGTCCTGGGCAGGGCAGACAGCAGGGCTTGCAATTTTATTGCGGAAGAAGCATTGTGCTGTCAGCCCTGCCCAGGTCTCCTCTGCTGGACTACAGAACACCGTCCCATCTCCATAACATAAGAGGGTGGTGTGCCGCAGAGGAGAACACAGACAGGGCTGTACACGATGTCAGATGCTCACTGAGTCTCTGGCAGGATCAAACGGGTAATTTCTGTACTTGCAGCATTTTATGAAGAGATAGAATTGAGAAATGCTGCATGTATTGCAGAGATAGCACAGCCGCACTCACCTTCTCCCACATCCGGGCCGGGAACGCCGCTCTTTCTATTGCCTTCATGTACAGGAAGCAGATGCCTAAAACGAGGAGAAATGGGTGAGGAACTGAGGAAGTCACACAGCTGCGCCCGCAGATAATAGAAATCACACACAGGCCGTTCCCCACACTCACCTTTCTCCTCTTTAATGGTGGCATACTGGCTGTTGGCGAGGGGACAGGAGGAGCGGTTACACTGACCAGTGATGTTGTATTCATTCCGGCAGAAGTTCTGAGTTTTAGTTCTGCAAACGGCAAAAAGAAATAAAACTGGGAAATTGTTCCTCTGCTGTCTGGTTGCTGTTCTCCTCCCCTTCTTGTGGGTCAAAAAAAAAAATGGCGGCACTGAAACTGTCAGGTAGACTAACTGGTCATAAAGGACAGCTGTATTATTATTATACATGATTTATAAAGCGCCAACAGTTTGCGCAGCGCTTTACAATATAAGGAAGACATTACAATTACACTACAATTCCAGACAAGACGGTAAGGAGAGCCCTGCCCCTGAGGGCTTGCAATCTAAAAGGGAGGGACCAGTGATACATGAGGAGGTAGCTGTGTGGGGATGAGTTGTTTGAGAATGTGATGGTTCAGTGGTTACGTTGAGGTGGGATAGGCTTCCCTGAAGAGAAGAGTCTTAAGGGATCGCCTAAAGACAGTCAGGGTGGGAGATAGACGGACAGGTTGGTGTAAAGAGTTCCATAGGATGGGAGAGACTCTAGTGAAGTCCTGGAGGCAAGCATGGGAGGAGTTGACGAGGGAGCTGGAAAGCAGAATGGCTTTTGATGAGCGGAGGGGACAGTTAGGGTGATACTTTGAGACAAGGTTTGAGATATATCCGGGGGCGGAGCTGTGGATTATTTTCTAAGTCATTGTTAAGATTTTGAATTTGATCCTTTGGGCTATTGGAAGCCAGTGCAGGGATTGGAAGAGGGGAGGGAGCAGGTGAAGGAAGCCAGTGCAGGAATTGACAGAGGGGTTGAAGGATGGAAGCCAGTGCAGGAATTGACAGAGCGGGGTTGCAGGCACTGAGCGGTTGGTCAGGCGGATGAGTCTAGCAGCATAATTCATGATATACTGAAGGGGGAGGAGCCTGCGTAGAGGTCAGCCAATGAAGAGGGAGTTGCAATAGTCAAGACGAGAGATAACAAGGGAGTGGATGAGTAGTTTTGCGGTGTCATTGGTGAGGAAGGGGCGTATTTTGAAGATGTTGCGAAGGTGTAGGTGGCAGGATTTGGATAGGGATTGGATGTGGGGAAGAAAGGTGAGGTCCGAGTCAAGGATGACACTGAGGGGGAGAGTTCTGGAGTAGAAAGATAGATTTGAGCGTCATCGGCATAGAGATGGTATTGGAAGCCATGTGGGGTCATTAACTGACCAACCTTTGTACCCTGCTGTGGCCCCCATTCAATTCTATGGGGAGCTGCACTCATGGCGGCCTCCAGCGTCCTAAGGCGCTGCACAGTGAAGGTGGCAGGATGGTGTATCGAGGGGAATATGGGACCTGGTCGGCCGCACTCATCAAAGGACAACTTGTACCGATGCTCGTCGTCCTTTATAGCTGAACGTAAAGGTGCCCATACACCTCCCAATTATCTACGATGATCGGCAGGTGTATGGAAGGCGTGCGACCGTTTCTACTGTACTGTCGCATGTCTTTTGTCTCCCGAGCGCGCTGGAAAACCCGCCGAGAATCGTACGTGGGCGGGTTAGTGGCATTCTCGGGAGACAAAGGCCGCAAGCGCACACTGCCAGCTCAGCATTGGGATCATCGGAAGCCCGCCCCGCTTTCAATGTTAGCAAGTACGATCTGCCTGTCCAAGATGGCCAGATCGTACGAGCTTTTCATTACTTTACAACCATCGCACGACTCAAGTCATGTGATGGTTGTAAAGTGTATGGCCAGCTTTATGCACATGAGGCCCAATTCAGACCCGCGAGTGGGCCCGGGCCACAAAGTGTCACTGACTCCTCCATGAGACTCGTGTGGTCTGATGTGGATGGGAGGCTCTATATAATACAATGACATATATTCCGTATCTGCAAAGCTCTGTGATCCCGATTGTCCTGACATGTGCAGTGGCGATGTATCCGAGCTGCACATCACCAGGCTAAGCTCCGCCCATCTACATTACCCCTGGTCCTGGTGTGACAGAACATTCCGGGAATATCTACAATACTTACTTTATCTTGAAGGAGCAGAACTGCTTGTTCCCCACAATGTCCCAGATCACCTGAAACCAAAGAAAATACGCTCAACTCAGGTCAGATAGGAACAAACCACATACTTCCCATTCGCGGACCTTTGACATTAATACTCCCCTATCCCCAGTTCCCCTGACAGTAATACTCCCTCATCCTAGGACCTCCAACATTAATACTCCCCGATCCTAGAACCTCCGACATTAATATTCCCCCTGACCTCCTGACAGTAACACTCTCCTATCCCCTGGACCTCCTGACAGTTACAGTCTCCTATCCCCAGACAGTAATACTCCCCCACCCCCAGACCTCCTGACAGTAATACTCTCCTATCCCCTGGACCTCCTGACAGTAATACTCCCCTATCCCGGAACCCCCTGACATCAATACTCCCCTATCCCGGAACCCCCTGACATCAATACTCCCCCATCCCTGGACCTCCGACATCAATACTCCCATATCCCCGGACCTCCGACATTAATACTCTCCTATCCCCGGACCTCCAAAATCAATACACTCCCATCCCCGGACCTCCTGACATTAATACTCCCCCATCCCCGGACCTCCTGACATTTAATACTCCCCCATCCCCGGGCCAGCTGCGACTTACATCATCGTGCTGCATCTCTCCGGCCTCACACTACACTCCTCCGGTATCACACGTGTACGGCCTCAGCACGCAGCCATCTACAAGGCACAATTCTCGCGAGAAGAAGCCGCATCTCCAACGTGACTTCCGCCCAAAGACAAACACTCCGCCTCATCCGATACGGTACACCACTCATGCCTGGTACTGGGTGGAGCTTACTATGATTTTGTACCGTGATTGGCTTGAGAATGTGAATCTATTAGCATACGTAAAGTGGCAATCTAGCGCTGGTTTAATGAGCGTATTTTGTTGGGAGCTAATCTGACCCTGTAATATACTTTCTGCGTCAATTATTGAGCCAGTGAAAAGAAAGTTTCGAACGAGCTAATAAAAAAAGAAAGTAGTGTTCGCCGGATGATTGGTCGCACTGAGCTGGAGAAGGTGCGTCTGAAAATTGGTCATCACGTGCCCATTTCTAGTTCGATCCTTCTGGTTCATAGGTGTGATGAGTGGGGTGTGCACACAGCTGTGTGACATGTGCCTTCCCTTTCCTGTTACGACCTGGCACATTACCCGTCTGATCCTGAACCGCGTGATCGCATTATAGTTGGTTTAAGAAAAGTTGTATCATTGGTTGCTCATCGGAAATGTTGCTTCCTAGCAACAGGCGATTCTGAAAGTAGTTTCGTATAGATAAATTTTAAAGGCGAAGTCGTCAGTCTTCAAGAAGATCCACATAGCTGTGTGACATGTGCCTTCCCCTTCATGATACGTCCTGGCGCATTGCCCGACTGATCCTGAACCACGTGATCGTATCATCATTGTTTAAAAAAAGTTACATTGTTATCTGTTCACCGGAAGTATTGTGTCCTAGCAACAAGTATCCCTGAAGCCTGAGAGTGATGTCTTATAGATACATTTAAAGAGGAAGTCCCTCTTCTAAAAGATGAAACTTTATTAAAGGAAATTTAGGCGTTTATTGATTTTTGCATTTTCCTAGTAACAGGTGTTCCTGAAGTCTCAAAGTGATTTCTTAGAGATAAGTTTAATGGGGAAGTCACTCTTCAAAAAGATAAAACTTTATTTACAAAAATGTGGGCATTTATTGATTTTTGCATTGAGACTGGTAAAGCAATGCAAGCGGGTGCAATGCTCTGACTCCTGCAGGCCCTTCCTCCCGTCCATACCTGTACCTCAGTACGGAACACACATGGGAGGAAGAATGAATGGTGATGTAATCGCACTTGTATTTCATTGGGAATTACAGGTCCCTCTGCCGTGCTGGCTGATGAGGCTTGTAGTTATTCCATTCACAGATCCTGTTAAAGGCAGAAGTGTCACAAGGGGGGTGCGGGCCGCACCCTGGTGACACCAAAATGATTGACAGTCATTTTGGTGTCACCCCCTCTAAAAAAGTCAGCTACTCGGCCATGGACCGAGAGCCCGACAGTGTCAGGAGAGAGGAGGGGACCCGGCGGCATACCTCTTTCCGCCGGGTGAACGTCCCCTCCTCTCTCTGCCAGCGTCCATCACCAAGATGGCCGCCGGCAGGCGTCAATTAGATAGCCGTGCATGCGCAATGATGAGCCACGCATTGCCGCGCCGAATAAAAAAATTAAAGTAAGCCTGCAGGGAGAAGAACCCCGCGATTTAGGTAAGCGGGTGGTCGGGGTTGTGATGTGACCATGTCACCTGAATATGGGGATAACATGAAACAAACTTAGCCTTTAGTCCTCATTCACGCCTTTGCGGTCCGTGAACCGGCAGCAATCCTGCACATTGAAGCAAAGCATCAAAAACGTGCAACGTGCATGCGCTGTCAGCTGGGAAAATGCACGCTTGTCCAAAGTGTCAACACGTTAAACACATACAAACGTGTGATGAGAGAACGCCGTACGCCGGCAGCATCTACTGCATGAGCTACTTTTCCGTGTTTGTCATGTGTGTGGCACCCATTGAAATCAATGTGACACAGGGCAAACGTGGGGAAAAAACGCATGCAAACATGACGCACATTCACAGAACGCAGAGGTGTTTACGGGGACTCCAGGGCCGGCTCGGATCTTGAAATGAATCGGTTTTTCGGTTCACTTGCTGAGTCGGCTGACAAGTGAGCCGAAGCTCAGGAGCTGTCTGACCCTTCATAAAAGATCAGAATGCGGTGCGCGTGCACAGAAACACGCTTTGTCACAGCTGATCGCGCGTCACCATGGCTGATCTGATAGAAAACCAAACTTGTGACATCTCTGGGCCAAGGCACAGCTTCACTGATCACAGGGAAGTTCCCCAGGAGCGAACCCCCTCCCCCAAATCAGTCTTCTCATTCGGATCTTTTATAAGGGTTCAGACAGCTCCTGAGCTTCGGGTCACTTGTCAGCTGACTCAGCAACTGAACCATTTCTAAGATCCAAACTTACCATCTCTTTTTGTAACTAACTACCAAAGAGAACAATTAATCCACTTTCACTACCCAACAGATCTTTGATTTTAGCACAATAATATATTCTGGTATTTCTTGGTCAGAAGGGTGATGTGCTGAGTCATAACAATGAGAGCTGCACATGTGACGCAACTAGCAGTGGACCGAACCGTCCTCCGACACCCACCATTACGTCAGAGGGTACTAGAATGTTCTCCCATCGGGTGGCAACATCCTCTCCCCTCCAACAACTGATAAGAACAGATACTACACTTGATCTTAGCCAAAAGGCAGAGAAGCGATAATGTTCGCATATTATACTGCATTGTATTAAATGATATGGGAAAGAATAATATAATAGAGCAATAACCTTCCAGCAAGACATAGAACTGTTGCCCAGAGGCGTGGTGACACCCAGTGCGGGTACCGGGTGACACCCAGCAGTGACGTCATTGAGTACACGCGTGACGTAGGGTTGCCACCTTTCCTTCAAGCGAAACCCGAACACTGTAGTGACACGTGGACATTTGTTTGGGGAGAATGAGTTGTGGCTTAGTCATATGTGAATAGCGCCACCCATTCATATGTAAATATCACAGTTTAAACTATTTTCAGCGGGGAGCCAGTAGCCCCTATCTTAATTTGAATTGCCAGACATCTTTGTCCGGGTTTCTGCAGCCATGAAACCCGGACACAGCATTCAAATCCCGGACTGTCCAGGTGAATCCTGGACAGGTGGCAACCCAGGCGTGACATCACGCGCGGTACCACTGTTACCTGCCGAAGGCTATCTTGGTGATGGACGCCGGCAGAGAGAGGAGGGGACCCGTCACCATACCTTATCCCGCCAGGTGACGTCCCCTCTCTCTCTCTCTCTTGAGCAACTGTCGGGCTCTCCGTCCTTGACCGAGTGCCCGACTTTTCAGAGGGAGGTGACACCAACATGACTGTCAGTCATGTTGGTGTCACTCCTTCAATGGTGTCACCCGGGTGCGGGGCCGCACCCCCCTTGTGATGCCATGACCTGCTTGATAAGACTGAGGAGTGGGCTGCAGCATAGTAGATGTGATTCACTATCGAAAAATGGAAAGTCATGAACTGGGAAACAAAGACGGAGATGTACCTCTTGCGGAAACATCTGAGAGTCCTTATAGATTATAGACTCAGCAAGAGCAAGCAATGCCAAGCTGGAGCCAACACAACAAGCAGAATACCATCCAGGGATTCATACAATAGAGAAAGCCATTACTCTACCACTGGTCCAGCCTCCGGTCCGAGTATGTGGCTCAGTTTTGGTCACCGATCCTCAGGAAGGATGTCCTTGAGGATTCCATGACATGTTGTTGCGCAAGTCCTGAAGAAGGGGGTGTCCAATTCTCTCGAAATGCGTTGGCTATACCTGACATTTCCATTTTAATTAACAATGTGAGATGACCATTTGTTATAGGCGTTCCTAACCACACATCCAGGAATTGGACATTTCAGGTAGACCTTTCTGACTCCACAGATTATCCGTATCTGTCCTCTCTTATCCCTGACCTCTGTGTGGGAAAATTCTGGAGCAAAGGTCAACAGAAACCGATCATGTTATTTGATTTGCTTGGTTTGGGCCATGGGTTCATTTTTGCTCCAGTTGTGATACATTAGAGACCGGCAACCTCTCTGCTTCTTCTTCAATATGACCGAAGAATGAAGCTTGAAGGTGAAGAGGAAGCAGTTTAATGTCTCTAATGTATCAAAACCGGGACACAAGTGAAGTTTTGGCCCATAACAAGCAAAGCGAGGGACATATCTGGTTTCTGTGGCACTCGGATCTACTTTTGCTCCAGAATTCTATGGTTTAGGTCTCTCAGATCTCACACACAAGGCGAAGATTGAGGGGTTCCAGCACCCCAGTCCCCCCACACTGCTCCTGGACTCCATTGCTGCTACTATGGTAGAACTTCTCCAATGGCACCACCATAGACTCTGCTACTATTTCCCTAATTACCTCACATTATAGGTTCTGTATATCATTTATTACAGCACAATGGAACATGGGAAAGTGATATTTGAGTCTCCCTATCCTGACTCCGGTGTCAGTGGACCTGGATTGTGGCTGTGGACCTCCAGCGGTGAGCCTTCTGGTTCTAGGGAATGATGAATGGGTAGTCACATGACTATGTGATGTGTGCAGCTCTCATTGTTACGACTCAGCACATCACCCTTCTGACCTACTAGGACTTTATGTGTTTGTTGAAGTAATGTTTAGTATGCTTTTTGCTATTATTAATTTTTTTAAAGATCTGTGATGTGTGCAACAAAGATTAACTTCACCCCTGTGGACAAAAAAAGTAAATTGCGAAATCAAAGCACACTAAAAAAAAAGTGCACGAGTGTGCTTTGGTCCTCCTCTGAAAAGGAAGGGACACGAATTTCTGAACTCGGGGTGCAAGGTTTCTGACCTGGGTGAGGATGACTCAGGTCCACCTACCCGAAGGCCGGCAGACCCCGATCCTCAGGGCCCTGCTGAAGTAGGTCCCATGAGTACTGGGTAGGGGCTCCCCCGAAGAGAGACCCCTAAGTGGGGGAAGGCAGAGAAGCCTGTGAAGGCCACAGAACCCCCCCCCCCCCCCCCCT